CAGCTGCCTCAATGTCCTGAATCGATTCAAAACATTTCCCTTTCACAGTCATTTTTACTTTGGGGAGGAGCCGAAAGTCACATGTCCCAGATCCAGCGAATAAGGTGGAAGATAATTCACCGGCACATTTTCACAAGCTTGTCTTTTTGGTGGATCAACTCAGCAGCAGCATTCATCTTATGTTTTTAATCACACTTCATAAAGACCTTCATGAAAGCAGACTTCCAAAATTGCTTCCAAAAGTGGCGGGAATGATGGAGTAAGTGTGTTTGAAGTGAGGGTGAATATTTTGAAGGGAAAAAAATGGCAATTTATCTTCTATTGTAATAAAAATTTTAATTTAAACATTTACCATATTTCTGATCATCCCTTGTATCCTGGGTCTTGACTGCCTCACCTCTCCCATGGGGAAGCTCAGCTCCCTCCACCCCTCACCTCTGAGGTCCTCCTGCTTCTCCCTGAAAAGGGCCCAGGTCAGCCTTGTAAACCCCACCACAACCATCAAGTGCAGACCGGCCCCTCCAGGACCGGGCACTTCACAGTCCCTTTCAGAGCCAGCTCCTTCTTCCATCTCTGGTCTGATACACGGGCCTTGGAAGCATCATCACTGTGATTGTTGCTTTCTCTAGAATTATTATATTACTATTAGTGATTCCAAGAAGGTTTATATCTGTCACCTTCCCGTTGCTGGGGGAAGATATCTGACACCTGCAACTTAGAAGAGGAGTGGTTGAGCTTAGCTCACAGTTTCAGAGACTTCAGTCCATGGCCTGTTGGCTTGAAGGAAGAGGAAAGCAGCTATGGCATCCAGGAAGCAAACAGCAGGGAAAGAGTCAGAAAGGAAGGGGCCAGAAACCAGATATGATCCCCAGGGTCACACCTACATGACCTACATTGTCCAGTTAGTCCCAGGCCCTAAGAGCCCACTCAGCTATGAATTTATCAATGAGCTAATTCATTGATGAGGTTAGCAGCCTCACAATCCAATCCCCTCTCCCAGGTCTCTTAATCCAGTCAAATTAACAATCAAGACTGACTATGACAGGGTTTCAGGCCACTTACAACAAAATTATAGAGCATCAGCCCCTCTATATCTGAAAACATTCTCAGATTCAATAAACTGCAGATCAAAAATACTTGGAAAAAACTGTGTCCATATCAAACATATAGGAACTCTCCTTGTCATTATTCCCTAAACAATATGTGCTCACTTCAATAGCCCATATACTAAAATTCCCTAAACAATATAGTAGAACAACAATTTATATAGTGTTTACATGACATTAGGTATTTTAAGTGATCTGCAGGTGACTGAGAGCAGGAGTCCCCAGCCCCTGGGTCATACTACTGCTCCTTGGTCTATTAGGAACCAGGCCACAAAGCAAGAAATGAGTGATGGACAAAGGAGCAAAGCATCATCTGAATGTACAGCAATTCCCCTTATTTTGTAATACAGCTTGAGTTCTGCCTCCTGTCAGATCACTGGCAGTATTCAATTCTCATAGGAGCTCAAATACTACTGGGAATTGTGCGTGCAAGAGATCTAGATTGCATACTCCTTATGAGAACCTAATGCCTGGTAATCTGACATGCAGCTGAGGCAGTGATGCTAACACTGGGGAGTGGCTATGAATACAGATTAACACTAGCAAAGACATTTAACTGCACAGAAACTTTAAGAAATCAATTGCTTGAAGGTTCATATCAAAACTCTATCCGTGGGTGGCAAGTCACAATTAAGCTGCATCTGGTGGCAGGCTTTAAGTCAGAATTTGACACTTATTTTAGTTCATATGCACCTTGCATATTATTCCACTTCCATTCCTTCCTCTTTCCCGCACTGTGCACTTGTCTCACAGGTTTGGTAAGTCCATGAGCTAACTCCAGCCAAAATAGGTAAAACAGACAGACAGACAGATAGACAGACAGACATCATTGGAGTGCTTGTTTGAAAAGGGGATAAGAATGGAATTAGTATGAGAAAATGAAAAATAATGGAAACTAAGTGTAGATAGGGAGAAAGGGAGGGGTTGAAGGGAGGGCAGGAAAATGGGGAAAAAATAAGAACCAAGACTGATTATGTAAAGGTACAAATTTCCAACAATGAATGTCATTATATTGTAGATGTCAAATGTATGAATAAAATTAATTTGTGGGTGTTGTTTTGCTTTGTTTTTTCTCATTGAGTTTATTGGTACTTTTTAAGTATACAGTACAGTTACATTTACCATTCAGATCTTGTACCTTCACGTGACAGATCTTGGTTCTCATTTTAATAAAATTATTTTTTTAAAAAAGGGGAAGAAGACCAATGATGAGACAACAGAAGACTTTAAGACTGCCGACAAAACAAAAGCTGCATTTAAAAAAATACCAAAAGTCTCATTCAAATTGCAGGTTTTTTGAAACAGGAGATTCACATTCTCCAAGCCTGCTTTGTATAAGATGCAGCAGCCAGCTACCTAATGAAGCCATAAAACCTTCAAAACTGCTTTGCCCCATGGAGACCAAGTATTCTGCATTAAAAGACAAGCCTTTGGAGTTTTTCAAAAGAAAAATATGTGAACACAAAGAACTGAGGCAATTATTGAAGGCCAATACTTTATCCAATGTGCATGCATTGACAGCACTGTTCTTAGTGGCTAACTGCATTGCCAAAGCCAAGAAGCCCTTTCCTCTTGGAGAAAAGTTGATTCTACCTGCTGCTAAGGACATTTATTATGAGCTTCTAGGAGAGGCTACAGTTCAAACAGTGCCACATGTTCCTCTTTCAGCTAGCATAGCACCATAACTAGATTAATTAATGAACTGCCAGAGAATATTGAGGAACAATTGTTACAGAGGATTAATTAGTCACTATGTTTTAAAATCCAAGTTGATGAGTCTACCAACGTTGAAAACAAAGAAACAATGTATTTGTGTGGTATGTTTTTTCGGGAGGGTGTGCATGTTATATGTACCTTGTTGCCAACCATCAGCACAGCTACAGGATTATTCAAGTCTGGATGATTACATATCAGGAAAACGGCACTGGTCCTTGTTTGGAGTGGATACAGGATCCATGACTGGAAGGTCTTCTGGTTTCATCACTCACGTCAAAGTGGTTGCTTCTGAATGTTTGTCTACTCACTGTGTCCTCCACATAGAAATGCTAGCTGTCTGAAAAATGTTACTTGAACTTAATGTTTTGCAGGATGTGATTAAAATTATCACCGACAATAAAATCCATGCCCTTAACTCGTGTCTGTTTGCACAGTTCTGTGAGGAAATTGATACAAAACACACATCTCCCCTTACACCCAGAAGTGAGGTGGCTTTCACCAGAGGTTTTGAGGTAGGAGAGTCACTCCAGAGTTTTTTCTAGAAAAGCAGTCACCGTTGGCAGCACATTTCAGTGACATGGAACAGGTTGCAAAATTTGCTTACTCATGTGACGTATTCAATCTGCTCAATGAACTCAATCTATCAGTTCAGGGGAGAGCCGTAATTGTATTCAAGTTTCCAGATAAAGTGGATCCATTCAAAGCCAAACTGGAATCATACGGGCAATGAATGAACATTGGGATTTTTGACATGTTTCACACATTAGCAGACATTTTGAAAAAGGCTGAGCCAGGGCCTTCTTCCTCCCTACTAGTGCATGATCACCTATCTCAGCTTTCAGAAGACTTTGACCTTACTTTCCAACCACCAAGGACCCCTGAAGTTGGAAGGAATGAATTCAAGACCCAACTGTAACTAAGCCAAGGTGATGACTTTGTGTATGCTGGAAGAGAATCAACTGCTTGACACTGCAAATGATGGTGACCTTTAAAGTATGTTGAGACAACTTTAAATCTCCATACATTCTGGAGTGAAGTCAAGAAAACATACCCTGAGATTGCCACAGAAATGCTAAAAAGCCCGCTTCCATTTCCAACATCCCGTTTTTGTGAAGCAGGGTTTTCTGCAGTAACCATAATCAAAATGAGATTACGGAGTACAATGATCATCAGCAACACCCTCTGGGTGTCACTGTTTCACATTATCCACAGGTGGCACCGTCTAGTTGCAAGAAAACAAACTCAGGGCTCCCACAGTTCTGCATTTTGGTAGGTTGTAATAATAACAGAAATAAAGTACATAATAAGTGTTATGTGTTTGGATCATCCCAAAACCACTTCCCTCCCTGATTTGCAGAAAAACTGTCTTCCATGAAATCAGTCCCCAATGCCAAAAAGGGTGGGACCACTAATTTAAAAGACACAGGAGAATGTGTGTAACTTTTATGCAAATACTGTGCCTTATATGTAAAAGATTGGAGCATCCAAAGTTTTTCATATCTGCAGAGGGTCCTAGACACAGTTCCCCCTGGACCCAGGGACAACTGTACATACATAGTAAAACAGTCAATTAAGTAATAAAAGACGGGAGAATGACTTTGTCAGAAAGCCAAGCTTGAGGATAATTACTTTTTCCAAATGCAAAACTGTCCTCTGTGCCCCACCCCCAGCTCTGCTGGGGACCCAGGTGGCTGCACACCTGTTCCTTAGTCTGGACCAGCCTTCCCTGGTCACAAGTGTGACAGGAATTTGCTCCGTGGACCACCTCTGTCTTCCCCTGAAGGCCACTGTCTGGCCTCTTGGGCTCCAGATCCAGGTTGAGGCTGGCCTGGAGGATTGGGAGGGAAGGGCCCACCTCATTTTGGATGCGTCAGAGCCAAACCTGGAGAAAGAAGCATAATCCAAACGCCCTCCCCGACATCAGAGCCCATGAGGTTCCTCCATCCCCCACCCAGAAGTGCAAACAGGGCCCCATGCCTGGGCCCACGGGCAGGGGCAGTTTCCCCCTCAGGCCGGCCAGCCCACAGCACTGGGCTCACAGAGGTGGCTGAGAGAAGGAAAGAAGAACTTCCAGCTGCGCATCGGAGGTGGAAAGGCGGCAGGGAGGGATGTCCACAGCCATCAGAGACCAGCCGGGCCGGCACCCTGTCCCCGGCGCCCCGTCCCCGGCAGACTCACCCTCATCACAGTTGCTCCCGGTGAAGCCAGGGCAGCACCTCCACTCCAGCGCCGTCACCGTGCGGTAGGACACCCTGTATGTGGGTCTGATGAGAGTCCTGTAACTAACACAAGCATAGAGTCAGGGAGTTCGGGCTCCCTGCCACCCCAGACCCAGTGCTGCAAAGACGGCCACGCTGCTCCACCACCCCAGCTCCACGTTCACTGCCGTGTGAGCTTTCCACACCTTTCCAAATGTGGCCACCTGTCGTGGGAACTGTCCTGCACACTGAGTGGGATATGAAAACGGAAAAGAAAAATACCGTTAAAACCAGCAAGAGTGCCAAACACCCCCAACTCACAAATTCTAACCTTTTCCCAGGCATTACTCCTTTTGTGTGATTTGTCTAGAGTTCTTACTGAGCACCCACTTTGTGCCATCCTGTGGTCGCAGTCGTGAAACTGAGTCTGCATCTCTGGGCAGTGGGACATTTTAATGACATCTCCAAATACATTAGGGGGTCACTTAAGGCAATAAAAACTCCTGAAGCTGGGCATGCTGGTTCGTACCTGTATTCCCAGCACTCTGGGAGGCTGAGGCAGAAGAAACACAAGTTCCAGCCCAGCCCAGGCAACTTATCGAGACTCTACCTCAAATAAAAAATGAAAAAGGACCATCTAGAGGTCCTGAGTCCAATTCCCACAATCATCAAAACACATACACGTGCACGCACAACTGCTGCTTTTAAAAATGTTTGAATGAAAAATAAAATTTTTCATTAAATAAATAGATAAAATTCAAAATAAAAGTTTAAACAGCTCCTGAAAAATGTGTGGCTCCCAGTGGTAAAGTTCTACACACGAGTGTGGAAATCTCCCCACCTGAGTTTTTGAGATAGGGTCTCGTGTATCCCAGACTGGCCTCGAACCTTTGATCTCCCTGCCACAGTTTCCCAGGCGCTGAGATTACAGACATCCATCACCACATCCAGCTCAGAAATTCTCTTCCACATAAGTTTGATATCATTTTGTAAAACACCAAGAAGAGTGGACATTAGCCAGGCATGGTGGCGCACGCCTGTAATCCCAGCACTCGGGAGGCTGAGGCAGGAGGATCGCTGTGAGTTCAAGACCAGTCTGGACTTAACTACATAGTGAGTACAAGGTCAGTCTCAACTACATAGTGAAACCCTGTCTGAAAAACAAACAAGCAAGAGTGGACATTCAATGTACAGCCAAATTTTGTGAGGGGGTGCGTTCAGCTGTTCTTATTTACTTTACGTGTATCATTGTAACTGTGCTGCTTGGTCATATTTGCAGAACTTCCCCTTTAACGTGACTTCACAAAATTAAATCTGCTGATTTCATCAAGCAACTTAATCGGTGAATGGGAAAATGACGCATTAATTGGGAGCAGCAGGCGAGCCATCCAGAGATCCCTTGTTGACAGGAAAACGCACAAGTTGCAGAAATATCTAAAATTGGATTTCAGAAGTCGGGCTCTGAATCTGGAAAATCCTGTTCCACTAATTTCTCTTCTTGAAAATCCTCTTGAATCATGTTTTGTCAGCATTCTGGCAACCAGCTCTCCCTGCCTGTGAGGGGACCTTCCAGTGAGGAGCAGCCCCAGCTGGGCTTCAGG